CTGGGGGGGGCTGGGTCGGGCGGGCTGCGAGCCGCGGCTGGGAGGGCGTGACTGGGGAAGGCTGGAGGCTCGGCTTTTTCTCCCCGGCTGCATCCAGATGTGCAAGCCACCGGCCGCCAGGGAGGCTTCGCCGCGCAGCCCCGGCCTAAACGCCTTCCAGGAGGTTTGTCCCCGCCTGCGCGCCGTGCCCTGAGCTCTCAAGCCGGGAAAGCGCGCGGACATGGGCGAGACCATGTCAAAGAGACTCAAGTTGCACCTCGGAGAGGCGGAGATGGAGGAGCGGGCGTTCCTCAATCCCTTCCCCGACTACGAGGCCGCCGTCTCCAGCGCGGGGCTCGTCGCTGGAGCCGCCGAGGAAACGGGCCGTGTTTGCCCTCTCCCCACCTCAGAGGACCCGGGCCTCCCTTTCCACCCCAACGGGAAGGTGAGTCGGCTGCCGGGCCCGGACCAGCGGTTGGGAGGGCGGGTGCGGTGACGTCATCGCCGTGCGTCCCGTGTGGTGGGGGCCCAGCCGCAGAGGCTGGGGGACGGCGGCGGGGCCCCGGGTTGGATCTGACTCGGATCCTGAGTTGGGCACGACTCGGATCGTTTTGTCACTGCAACAGTCCGAAGGAGCGCTTTGATGTTTCTTGGGACCGAAAAGTGAATTAGTTGCTGCCGTTAGTTAGGTAGATTTTTGTGACACCTGCCTGTGGGCACGCCCTTGCTTGGAGAAAGGCTACAGTCACACCTTCTCCAACCTTCTTCTTTTTAGTTGATTTTGTTCTTTAACAATCTCATACGTGTATTTTGTGTAATGCATTCTGGTTGCTCCCGCCCCACCGTCTCTCATCTCCTTACCTTCCTCTGTAAAGGTGTCCCCCCTCCACACACACACCAGTCTCTCCCTCCCCGTTTATGTCTTGTTTGTTTGTTTCTTTGTTTGTTTGTTTGTGTCCCCCTGGGCTTGACCAGGACCATGTGTGTGAGTTATCCATTGGAAGCCGGTAGGTTCGCTAGGGTACAGAACTGAAGACAATGGCTACTCCTCTTCTGAGAGTGAGTCTGTGGCTAATAGTTCAGCATTAAGGGTTAGGGTCCCCTGAGCCCCTCCCCATCCATGACTGACTGTCGGGAGGGTCCTTCTTGTGCACATCCAGTACATATAATTATAGCAATTGTGAGCTCATGGTTACATTGGTTGTGCCATATCTTAGAGGCTAGAATTTTTCGTTCTTTCCTATCTTCTGGCTCTGGATTTTTTTTCTTTTTCTTTCTCCTGACCATTCTTCTTCAGTGTTCCCAAATCTTAGAGGGTGTAGTCCAAATGCCTTGTTTAGGGCCAAGCTCTCATCTGTTACATGTAGTCATATGGAACCTTTGGATATATGACTGAGAGTGCTATGACTGGGTCATAAAGATTATTTATTTATTTTTGAAACAGAACTTCTCAATGTACTGTCCTGGCACTCATAGATATCCACTTGCCTCTGCCTCCTGAGTGCTGGGATTAAAAATATGCTCTGCCATACTCATCACATTAGGCATTTTTATTTCTAACCTTTGAGAACCCTCTAGATTGATTTCCAAATTGGCTTCACCAGATTACACTCTCACCAGCAGTGTAAAGGGATACCCTTTTCTCGACATCCATGCTCGAATTTGTTAACTGTATTGATGATGGGCATTCTGACTGGGGTGACATGGAATTTGTAATCTGCATGTCACTCATTGCTGAGGGTGTTGAACCCTTTTTAAAATGTTTACTGTTTGTAGTATTTGTTTTGAACACTCTCCCTGTTTTTCCAGTTGCATAGGCCCCTCCATCTTTAAAAAAGTCATTTTGTGGAAGTATTTTTCCTTCATGTTCACTGTGTGCATGCCTAATACTGAGGAAGTCAGAAGAGGGTGCTGGATCTTCTGCAAATGTCGTGTGGACAGGTGTGAGCAACTGTGTGGGTGCTAGGAACTGAACCTGGATCCTCTGCAAGAGCAGCAAATGCTCTTAATTGTTGAATTATCACTCCAATCTCATGTAGCCCTTTTTTTTAAAAATTGTTTGTTTTTTTGATACTTAGGGTGATTTATTTTTAGGTCTTTGTGTATTCCAGAAACTAGACACTAGTCTTCTGTTGAATGTGTAGAAAAGATTTTTCTCCTATTCCATGGATTCATCCCATTTGTTGACTGTGGTCATCATGCCTGTGCTACTGGAGTCTTATTTGAAAAATCCTCACCTATGTTTATACGTTGAAGTATACTCGCTGCTTTTTCCTCTAGTAGTTTTAAAGCATGAAGTCTTATATTGAGGTAGTTTTGTGCAGGGTGACAGATGGTGAACTAGTTTCTTTCTTTGAATGCTGATACCCAATATTTCCAGCACTGCCATAACCTCCACAGCTTTGGGAATTGACCAGATGGGGCAATAGGGGAAAGAAGAAACTATAGACATGTTACAGAAAAGCCAACATCTGCTGTGCTGTTCTCAGCAGCCCAAACTCGGTGCATTTATTAAGCAGAGCTGAGTGAGGAGGTGGATGTTAAGTCTCAAACCCGGGCTGAGGTGCCTATTTAACATATCCAAGTGGACACTGACCACCAGGTTCTCCCTGTAGCCCTCAGCCACTACCTTTTACAGGGCCATCCTGGCTGGCATGCTCTGCCCCCTACCTAAAACTTCTCCAGCCCTGGGGCTTGGCCACCTTTCCTCCAGTTGCCCTTCCCTATATAATCCAACCATTTTGGTTACCTGGCCTTCTTCATCTACTCTCTTCTGTTCCTCCTGGCTGCAGCACCTTGTTTTTCTCTCTCCCCTCTCTCCACATGGTTCAGGAGCTCAGGCTCATGCTACTCTGGACTCTTCCAGATAACCCTGCCTCTGACTATGCTCTCCCGTGTATCTGTAATAAACTTTTTCCTCCATCATACCTAGGGGAAGTCATCTCCTTTCTTTTTTTTTTTTTCTTTCATTGGGTTTATTATATGGAGCTGAGTGTGGAGTTGGGTTATTATATGGAGGTGAGTGTGGAGTTGGGTTATTATGAGGAGGTGGGTTGGTTGGTCTCTGTAGGAATTCTCTGCAAGAGAGCAGACTTGGGTTGCAGTCATTCAGGGAGGAAGATGTTGTTGATCTTTGTAAACACTCTCAACATCCATACTTAGGACAGGGAAAGCTTTGCTGGTTCCCTGATCCTGTTCCAGGGAAGGGTGTGCAATTTGTATGGTCTGAGTTACTGGGGTCCTTGGATTTTGCTATGTTCATGTCAATAATACACATTCACTCTGGAATTCATCTGCTCCCCACATAGCACCATCTGTTTAAGAAGCCCTCTTATTTCCAGTAAGTTTTTTTTTTTTTTGCATTTTTGTTGAAAAAAAAAAAAAACACCAAAGCATCAACAAAAAAACCCATGTAGATGTAGTAGTATGGATTTATACCTGAGTTCTCTATTATATTACATTGATCTACATGCCTTTTTTGTTCTAGAACTATGATGTTTCTATTAACATGGATCTATAGTAAAATTGAAATCAGGTGTGTTTTTGTGTCCAGCAGTCCTCTTTTTGTTCAGCATTGGTTTGGCTGTTCTGTCTTGTTTGTGTTTCCATATGGGCGTTAGCATTATATTTTCTATTACTCTAAAATATTTCTCGAAATTTTGATGAAGATTGCATTGAATCTGTAGATTACTTTTGGTAGGATGTCCATTTTCCCAGTATTCCCAATTCGTATGCATGGGAGTATTCCCACGGTCTAGTATCTTCTTCAGCTTCTTTCTTTGGGGGGGTTAATATTTTCACCATAGAGGTCTATAGTGTACTGTCTAGTTTATTCATGGGTATTTATGTGTGCATGCTAGTGTGTGTATGCATTTGTGTATGTGTGCGTTGTGAATGGGTTTAATTGCGTGGTTCCCTTTTCAGTATGCTTGTCATTGGTACATAGATAGGCTACTGATTTTTGTGTGTTAGTTGTATAGTGCCACATTGCTGGGCATGTTTATCAGCTCTCAAGAGATTTTGATGGTCTCTTTGTGTATAGGATTTCGTTATCTGCTAATAGAGATACTTTTGGCTTTTCTTATTGGTTTCCCTTTATTTCCTCCTTTATCCTATTACTCCTAGCTAAGAATTTAAGCACTCTGTTGAAGAGGACTGTAGGGAATCTTTGTCTTGTTCATGATTTTTGTAGGAACGCTTTGAGTTTTTCTCATTCAGTTTGATGTTGGCAGTAGGTTTATCATTTTATAGCCTTGAGGTTTCAAAAGCCCAGGCCAGACCCAGTCTCACTCTTTCTCTGCCTTCTGCCTGTGGATTAGGGTGTAAGGTCTCTGGCTACTGCTCTAGCACCATGCCTGCCTGACATGCTTTCTACCATAATGGAAGACATACTAATCCTCTGACACTGTAGCCAGCCCCTAGCTAAATGCTTTTATAACTAGCCACAGTGATGTTGGTTTTTCACAGCAATAGATTGTAATAAAACAGTGTCATACCAGTGTTGTGATTATGAGCTAAAGAGAAATTGAAGTGGAAACTGTGTTGTTTTTGAAAATAAAAAGAAGACATTAGAAGAGTAAGGGATGGGTTCAAATATCGTGAACGCAGTGATCTGACATAGTGGTAGCTCCTCTCTGTAACACTTTTAATACTTAACAGCCCTTTATCTGAAATTGCTGTGTCCTTCCAGTTCAGAGCTACTGAGTCTAGCACCAGGATCTCAGTTATGGTAAGTAATGTAATAGTTGTGAAGCTTAGATGGTTTTCTAACTAGCAGCAGCAGTTTTATGTGGTATCTTGTGAGGGTCCATTCAGAGGAGGAAAATTGCACCGAACTGATTGTTATTAACTGTAATGAGATTGGTGTAATGAAAAATGTTTCATAGGTGTTAAAGAGAACTCTAGAGACGAAAGGAATGGCAGGTATGAGGAACAGTCTGGACTGCTAGGATTGAGAGAGCACTTAAGGACATGGCTCTGGGTAGTAGCTGTCTGATGCTGGATAATAAATTACTCTGAATTTAGCAACTTTTAAAACACTTATCTCACCCAGTGTCTGAGGAGTCCAGAGCCTCATAATATTGCAGTTAGCTGTGTGGTTCTGACTCAGGGTTTGTCATGAAAATACAGTCATTTCAGAGCTCAGTCAGATAAAGATAGTCTTCTCATCTCCTTCACATAGTTGTTGGCAGGTCTGACTAACTTTTTTCCTTTTATATTTGTGTGTGTGTGTGTGTGTGTGTGTGTGTGTGTGTGTGTGTGTGTATTATATTCAGGTTGCTGGGCTTGGCAGCAAGTGCTTTTACCCACTTAAGCCCTCACCTTCTCCAAGGGTTTGGTTTCTCCCCATGTAGATCTTGCTCTAGAGCTGCCCTCACGACACAGCAGATAGTTTCTCCTGACAGTGAGTGCTCAAGGAGATACAAAATGTCCAGGTAAATAGGG